TAGTTGGTCGACAAGTCTCTTCATGTGTCTCATTCTTAGTCCAAGCGCACCGACAATTTGTTTGGTCAAGGCGCGCTGCACCGGAATGCTATTGGATCTGATGGCAAGTCTCAAGAACAAGACTCATGTCTATTTACTGAGAGATTGAAGGCTAGTAACATTCTTTTGTTTTGCTCTCATGAACTTTCTGCAGGAGAAGCGTCGCCCGAATGGTGTACGCCTGCGATAGGCTGGCCGTCCCGGTCCATCTAAGCGCCGTTTTCCGCTGCGTGTTTCTTCTCTATGCGGTCTATAGAGGAGCAGTATTCCATGTAGATAGACATTTTGTCTGTAGATGGAGAGGGTGGCATTAGAGAGCGACTAAGGTTAGTGAGACTTTGCTGAGTGGTTAGGATTTAGAATAGTTTAAATATGAGGAGAGAGGTATCAAAGGCCAGTTGAGATATATTTGCTGATCAAGGGACTGACGGAAGAGTCGCTCGATATTCAGGCTCAACTTTCCATGGACAGCAGATACAGTGACAGCAAACTGATCAGAACGCAATGGGACAAGGACTTTATTAGGGAACAAATGGGTTTTTGATCATTGATTTTCGAATAGAAGGGGCAAGTGAAGATCAGAGCCAATGACAAGAAAGTGTTGTCCTTCAATACTGACATGTCAGACTCAACATGCCAGGTCACATCAGATGAAGGCCTTGACTGCGACCAATTTCAACTCACCAACTTCTAGTTCATAGGGTTCCATGAAGTTCGCAAGACTTTTCCGTGAAATCATAGGCAGCCATCTAAGTCCTAGGCAGACACGTCTACCAGCTCATTTCACTCCCTGTTTACAGATCAAGTGGCAATAGAACAAAACTGCAATATAATGGCTTACTCAATCATAATCCAATCTGAGCCATTTCCTCTTCGTAGTCTTGCACAGATTCTCAGCAAGAACACCTCTTCCTTTTCCTTGAACCAGGCAAATCTGGGCATTCATGGACATATGAAGAGCCTCTCATCGCTATTTCATCATTACATGGCCAGCCAATTTGCAGCATAGATTTTGCTTTCATGTCCGTTCATCCAGATAGGTTGCATTGGTCGCCGTTAGTCTCCACAAAGCCGCCTTAATTCAGCCCGTTAGCTCTGGTGATACAGTCTGCTCGACAAAGTTCCACCTGAGCGACCATGTGATGAAGATGATGTGATGATTTTGCTCGGTGAAAAAAGAAAGAGACACAGATAGACTGCAAAGACATTCCAGTTCGACAAAAAAATATGAAGCTCTCAATAGTTATCGAGGAGGTAACGTGAAGTTTCCACAACGCTCCCATTTTGATGCCCAGGAGACCGTTGCAATGTCTGAACAGTGGGCACTCACACAAGAACATTATTTCGGTTGATTTTATGATTAGAACCTACTCCGCTCTCCGTGAATCAAAACTCGAGTTTATACAAAGTGAAAGCAGAAATGTAACATGAGGGGCTTGCAGCAAGAGCTTTGTAAGGCATTCAGACGACGTCGATAAGAAGCCACCACCTCTCCATAGACGGTAAAGGATAGTCTTTTGGTCCTTACCAACTTGGCATGGAATCATATCGCCAACAACAGCGAATGGCTCGAAGAACATACGGAAGCCGGTTACAACATCGAGACCGCTCCCTGGCTCGAGTGGGCTCTCGAACTAGATTCCGCGCTGCTGAATCTCAGTGACAAGCTTGCTTCGCATGGACTTCCAACATACCTGAAGGTCTCTGTAGACTTCGCCAAGCTGTTCAAGGGCATTCGGCAAAATGGCATTGACCCTCTGAACCTTTAGTAGTATCACATGCCCGGTTCACGTTGGTACCGATGCAAAAGCAATCCATCCTGCTTGGACTCTGGGCAACATGTTGTTTTATCAGAAGAATTGTGCGAGAAAATAGTCAAGTTCAAGCCGTAGTCCGTGGAACAGAAGGCCGAATTTCTGCGTGAACATTGCTTAGTCGGGGCAAAAGGACTGGATCCGAGATTTCCCCTGAGTGTTGATACAGAGCAAGGTGCAGCTTTCTCAATTATGCTTCATGAATCTCTAACAGCAACAGGCAGCGATGGGGCAGACATATGGAAGAGAGATGTCGATCATCTGCAGCGTCTCAGCCGCAGGTTGCTCTCGACGATCCCGGCAGCTCCAGGCTACCATTGAGGGAACTTGCTACACCATCGAGCCATCCACGATCATGGCATGGAAGACTCGGATTTTGCACAGCCATGAACTCCACGTCCAGGTTCAGTCATGATCTCTGAAAAGAGAACAGACTTGCCGCTGCCTAAACGTGATATCGAAGCTCGACCTTCGGTTGTTTCCCCAAAAGACTCGTCAAACCATTGTGACTGCAATTTTCGACTAATTCCGCAATCTGGGGATGATCGAGTCGCGCCAGCAACACTGCCTCGTTTGCGATATGCCGTGATTTGCCTTGTGTGATCGCGAGAATTCTTTAACGAGCCGCCACGGGGCTTTCCTTCATTCACTGGTCTAGACCGTGGATTTTGCTGAACGTGACCTTTACCGTGGCCTACGGCAGTCCTATCCTTGACATTTCGAACCAGCTGTCAAAATGTCATCTGTCCTCATAAGGATGGAGACACTAGGGAGAGACTCATTCCGGTGCAACGTCGCAAATGGCCCAGACTTGCGTGGTCACCAGGGTTTTCTTAAGCGGCCGAGACCCGATCTTTCCATCGAATGCCTCAGGATATCCACGGTCGGCAGCCATGCACAAAATATTTTCTGGACGGTCGCCATGCGGGCAATCCTTTGCGGGTCTCTCGCTCCGGCGAAGGTTCACCATGCACACTTTCGTTCTAGGCAACCTGGGATACCGACGGCGTCCCTGAGATTCTGGTGGGAGGTGTCACACCAAATAACTCGGTCTAGCCAACGTACGAAAGGACGGGTCACCGACTCTTCTGTCCAGATTCAAAGCTGCAGTGGGTCGACAATGATGAGGGCGATGGCTGAATTGGTTGAATTTGCCTTTTCCTTAGATCGCTATACTGTATAAGCAACATCTGCGCGGTAAAGTCTTGTCAATCTTCCTTCGCAAACAGCCATGAATAGTTCTCTTCACATCGGAAGAAGAGGTCTTCGGGAAACAGGAAAAGAAGCCATCGGCCCCAGGTCCTAGTGGCCGTCTCAAAGCCAATTAAGATCACATCGTACACTCACCGTTCATGGTGACTGGTTACTCCAAGCCGCTTCCATAGCCACTTTAACTGGATCACTGCCGCGCGTAGGTCTTAGGATCTGTTTATACTGGGCGGTGATACCTTCCGATAGCCCGGGCAGCAGATGTGAGAGGCCCGAAGGCGGCTGAGGCTGTGGAGCGGAAGCGGAAGAGACTGTACATTACTCCTTGTAGAGTTGTGAAATCCATGTTCAGGAAGGTTTGAAAACGGCGATACAGGGCGAATTGGAAGGCAAGCGACAGCCTGCCGACATCTATATCTTATCTATGTCTGCATATAATTCGCCTTCAATCGACATCTCAGCAGACGTACTGATAAGGGCACAATGCCAATGTCCCGATTGTAGCCGTCGGTCGTCCACCTACTCCCAAAACTTCATATCCCGACCGCCATGGTCGGGTTTGTCATGTACAAATCGTAATCGAGAGCCTTCTACTCGCTCAGATGAATTTGGCCCTCGTTTGGCAGCTGGAAGTCAACGAATCTGTTTATAAATTCTCCAGCGTCGCCTTTGTCTTCACGTAAGACACTCTAATGCTTTCTTTAAAGATGCGCGTCACAGTCAATCGGTGTTGGGTGGCAAGCAGGGCTGATGGCCGTGCTGCAGGATTAAACAAGGGGCATGTGCATCGCTGGATTACTTGTGAACCTATTTATCAGGGCAATCAACGAATCCAGAGATCCGACAAGGATACTCGCCAGTATTGCGGAAGGAGAATAGCCACACGTGGTGTATGACGCTTGCAGATCCTCGGGGTAGAGTATGCCGTCGGCGTTGAGTAACATAAGGAAAAGTAATTGCGAGACAAACAAGGGGAGGAGTCTATACATCGCCATTAGTTGAATACCATGGCGTTATAGCAGTTGTGAACGGTCTTTCGACTGCTGCTCGCCTTTCAATGAAGTAATGCGCAAGCCTTTCGCCCTTCTAGTATAGCTGAACCATGCTTGGCTAAGCAGCATACATGCCCAATTGTGCGCGAAATAAAGGACTGATATGATGAATTCTGGCACTTTTGCTATAAGAATGTTCTTGAGAAGCTCTCCCTTTAAGGAGACAGTGTTGACTTTCGCGTCGGCATTTGTCAAGCCGAATTCAAGAGAGAAGCCATTGCCTGCGGTCTGCAGCTTGTTCAAATCGACACCTGATAAGGCTATAGCTGCAACAATAACACTTGTATAAAGAAAAGCGGTTATTATATATCGAATGGGGCTCGCAGCGGCAAACCACCGTACAGCAACCAAGAAAGACAGTGGACTCAATAGGTGGGACAATAGAGCACAGGATTTATATATCATATGATTTCAGATGAAGAGGTGAGGGAATACTAGCTGTTAATAAGACCATCCGCGCGGAATCATAGGTGTCTGCATACAGCCAGGACAGTCAAAGTGGAGGAACGTCGAGGAATTGCCTTAAGAGCGAAAGCAGACTCATCAACCGATCATAATGCAGAGCTGAAGAGAAAAATTATGCTATTCGGGATCCCTCATTTGTCTATTATCTCAGGTACCATACATCTTTTTGTTACATGCGACAAAATGGGACGCATTCTTCATACCTTGAAGACGGCACGGACTTGCTCACTAGGTGAGATTGACTCTGATATGGACTGATAGGACCTTAGCGGATCAACCAAAATCAGGGCCTAAGCAACAGAGCTCTCCCGGGGAGCCCCGGGATCTCTCATGGAGCGACTCCCTGATGCAAGTTATCACCCTTCTGAGCCCTGCTTGCAGGTCCCTCTAGACGATCTTACCCTAGGGCATCTGCCCAAGTATGGACCCCGGAGTCTCCTCCGAAGAGACGCCCCTGCGCCGCCGTCTGTCCGGATTGCTTGCGTTGATTACATTGGTATTTTTCACATGCCCACTAGAAGTCATACGAGCCCGACTGACATTTGAAACAGAGATTCATTTGCGCCCCTCCCTCCGCCCATCTGCAGCCAGGTCTACCACGAAAGATCACCTCCCATCGCCGCATCGAATACCGCGATACCTGCCGCGACAGCCATCGCCCAAGCCTCCAACCCGCGATCTAGCCTTGTCAATTTCTATCGCAGCTTTTCGTCCACTTGAGCAGGCATGTTGCCGTACGCGAGTGTATCGTTCTCAACACACGACGCAGCAAGGGACTGGCTGCGAATACCGCTTCATGCGGTATGCACAACAGCCAAAATGTCCCCCCTGAGATCCGACCATAGAGCCAGCCGTGAAATACTGGGCGGAGCTGGCGGCCAGAGATCCCACAGGACTGGTCTCCCAGACATCTGTAAACCCCTTCGAAATCATCCAGAGACACATGCAAGTCGGCGGGGCGATGGACATCGGTTGTGGATGGACGAGACAGTCCGTCTGATCATCAAATAGAAGGGCTTCAGGGCTTCAGGGTCAGTCTTACGGTTCGCTGTTTCAAGGTCGTGTCCATGGTCGCTTTCAGCTCTGTATGTGTATCAGAGGTCTAGGACGATCCTTGGGGTTTGATGGCAATGCCAAGGTTAGATATGGATTCTCGGCAATTGGAGAAGATTTGCATAGCGAGGCATTACACGGGAGCATCATTACCGGTACCTACATCGTCTGGATGCTCGATGAAGCAAGAAGTGTCGAACAAGGATGCATACCTACAGTTCTACCTGGATTTACTCATGACCATAGCCCCTCTGCAATCCCGTCAACGTCTGCCCCCGGAATACCGCCGCAGCCACTGCTCGCCTAAGACTCACAATCGCCAACATCAAAGCATCAAAACCATCATTATCTCCACCTATATACATCGAGCACTCTTGTTGCCTTTGGGCCCATCGCTCAACACGAGCACCTTCATTTCTTCCCACGCCCTCAACAACTTTCCCCGCGTCAGCATCAACAACGCTCCCCTGCAGCCGTCCTCCCAGAATAAATCAAAGAGACTTCCCAGCCTGCCCCATACCATAACAGCAAGGACGAAAGGGTCTTTCACACGCCAGATACAGCCTCCAACATATCCCAAGGGGCTGGTAGAAGAGTTTGAGGAGCTGCAGAAGGGTATCACAACCAGCGAGATCATTGCTATTCAGAGCCCACGGCGGAAATCGGCCAGTGCGCCTAAAGGCGGAAGACCAGCGTTCCCGCGAGAAAAGCGTATATGGATCGTAATTAAGTCCTCGCTTTGTTCTGAACGATTTCGCTATCATTGAAGGAGATTAGACACTACAGCTATTGAAAGTTTCAGTGATGGGTTATCCCGTCGTGGTCGACAGCACAAACTGTGAAGAGGCGATGGTGCTACCTTTCACGGACGAACCGTGGGAAACTCGATCGTCCTGTTCGTGATGACAGTCGCTGCATTCTCCTTTTCGCCGTAAAGCTACAATACTCAATAGCATTCACATAATCTGCAGCCTTCGACGAAGGACCAGGTCACATTTCCATCAATCTCGCACACGTAACAGGCTCGACAGGCCGCACGCTCTCACGACCCTTCCTGCGGCCGAAATTGTTATTTACAGCCATGCGCGCTGGTTGGATTTGTAGAGATATGGATCTCTCTCCACGGGATAACGAATGACTGGGTCCAGGACCTATACAAGGGACAATCCGGGCGGTCAGATGAATGACGACAGAACTGTTAGCCGTCATGACTTTGAGACCATTTTTGGCTCCAGATCCGAGGGACAGGATCTGTGGATTCTCACACAATGAGATACGACCTCATCTGTTGTGTGATCAGATTGCCAGGGATCGCTGCTTTGCGCAGGTAATCCAGCATGTTTAATCTCGGTTTGCTTATGTTATGACAATGTATCGTTTGAATATGGCTTGGTTCTAGAAAAGAAAACGGGATTGATGTGCTGCAAGCTATCTTGCGTGGGAAGAAGCTAATGAAGGCATAGTCAAAGATGGGCATCGCTGCTTGAGATGGCGTTGAGTTGTGGTACGTATCGCTCTCAGCCTGACCTCATGACTGCTGAGCACAGTTGTTGCAGCCTCAGCAGCCTCGTGATGAAAGTTGAAGATGATTATGCAATGGTTTTCCAACATTTAACCATGTACACATAGTAGTTTGATGCTTCTAATTTGAGAGAAAGTCTACTGATCGCTGCTGAAGTCAACCGAGATAGAAAGCTACCAAAAGTGATTTATTCGCTTTATCCAAGGGAGATGCGCTGACTAGTGCCAGGAACAAAATTTAGCGAAACAATGTCTTTAGATGAGAAATCATCTCATCCTGATCCCATGAGATCCAAGATCTATAAGAATCCGACTGAACCCTTAGGGAGCATGGGCCAGTTTTCCCCTCAGGGCAAGTGCGACCCCACCATCCACCATTGGGATTCAGGTATCAACAGTGGCATCACAGTGGTGAACATGAACAACAAATAGCTCGTCGCGAAGTTTAATTTTCACAGGAAGCCCAAAAGCGAATGCGAATGATAGAGGAGCAATTACACGCAAAGCCGACACTGCCCACAAAGCAGTGGGGTTGATGACCAAAGCCAAGCGCCTCTTTCGGCGGAGGAACGGATGGCGGACTTGGGGATGCTGCATGTGGAGATCCCGGGCATTAAAGTGATCAAGTAAGTGATTTTTGATGTTGAAGCTCAGACTCCCAAACCCCAACAGAGCTGGCTTCCCACAGCTGCTATAGCTCCCTCGAGCTTCAAGGAGTCCAGTCCCAGGAGCTTCAACGCCCACCACGCCAAATCCTCGAGTGGTTCTTCTTCCACTGCTGGTTTAGTGTTCTCCGCTGCTGGCTTCCCACAGTTTCGCCTCCGCCTCCGGCTCTGGAGCTGCCTCGTTTCCTGATGAGACACGCGCAATCCACCGGGAGAAATCCCGCCTGATCGTTCCCTTCAAGTAGCCGTGATGGGGCTTGTCCCACCTCGCCGGCCATCTCTCCTCCATCTCTACTGCGTCATCGCCCATCATCGCAAGCTTCCTCAGGTCCTTCATTCCCGGATCCATGTCCTCCATAATATTCTTTATGTAGACGACGTCCTCGTCGCTGCTGTCCTTGTATGGGTCGTGGAACCGCACGTACGGTCGGGCTCGGAGGTCATGCTTCTTTGCATCCGTCGTAGCGGCGGCGGCGGCGGACTCCTTTCCGGTGAATTCGGTCACCTTACCTGTTCAAAGAGTGTACGCCTAAGCAAAAGTCGGTCGCCATGCATCAAGGGAGAGAAGGGAAAGGGAATCACAGAATCACAAACTTGCACCGGATGGGACAACTGTCTTGGGGGAGAAGACCACATCAGCTGAGGCGGCCTCAGGGACGGCAGCCTTATTTGCGTGCAGATTTTCTTCCATCGTCAGCCCGTTGTTGCTGTCACGTAGAGAGGTGAGCGAACGAAGAGGCCTTCGTGGCTTGAATGGAGCTCGGCCTGGCTGCTGTGTTGTCCGGCTCTGCCATTACGTTTCGTATGGGTGAATTTTGGATGACGTGGAAGACTGACTGGCTGGCTTCTTGGTTGCATAGGTATTCCACAGGGTAAGTGGCGCAAGGAGGTGCCTTAAGATTTCTCTTTGGCTACCGTCCCAAACGGAATTCTGCTAGTTTAGCTGATTACGGAAACAATTTACAACCCGCTATTTCCCGCCCAACCGCATATAACACGTAAGCAAAGCTTCTTGTATCAGGAATGACTCTGCATTTTGGACGCCTCAATGCTGGAAAGATCTGAAAGAAACTTCGGCAGACGCGTTGGCATTGTCATGGCCGTTGTCAAAGGACGGTGAGTGGGGATTCAGGCCCAGCGCGCTGAAGAGAGTCGGCCAGTTAGACATTCTGACACCCGGGTGGACGCCTCTGAGGGCGATAATTGCATTGCAGATCATGGTGAAGGCGGCGGTCGTGGTTGCGACGGGAGTCTACAGCGCTGGCGGGGCAGATGTCCCGCTCGGGGCTCGGCCAGCCCAGGCTATCATCGCCAGTGCAACGAGAGATATCCAAGAGTAGTAGTCTTTGAGGCCATCATGTCTCGGAACACTTTTTCTTAGGACATCATGTCGTCTTCTTTTGGCATAAGCTGGCATCATGAGTGATGATATGGGGAGAGAAGTATGAGTTGTTTGGGTGTGTCTTTCTTCCCTTCTAACTTTTATTCTTCGCAGTTTGCCGCCTGTTGTTTGGGTGTGCTGCAGGAGCTGGGTATACCATATGCAGGCAGAATCTCTGTGTCGAAATGTCGCCATTTCTGCTACTTTTATGACCGATAACTCTTGCTTCAAGGTTGAGGTGAATCCTGCGTTATGCGAAGGGAGCGTTTCAGGGCCCCCCCCCCAAAGGAAGATCTCGCGATATCGGCAAACAGATTGTCATCGTTGTTGGTGGCGAGGGCGTGGCGGTGAGTTTGGTTGAGGGTTTGGTTTTTGGATGTGGCTTCACACGGGCAGCACTCATTTGCGTTTGCTCTGTCAGAAACCCCTGAAAGTATTCATATACGATTTACCGCCCCTCAGTTGGGGTTTTTTTCGACGTCACTCGGCCTCTTTTCCGACGATTACGCACCGCGCAAAGAAGTTTGGAAAAGGTCTGCGGGTAACATCTCAGCGATATGCTAGATGCTAACGCCGTATACTGCGCTACTCTGTGCTTAGCAATAGGATACAAGGTCTTATAGGCAAGCTTTTGTCTTCATCCATCAGCCGCGTAGACATGTGTGCTGCCGTCAGAGTGAGTCTTGGACGAATAAACTCATCCTCCCTCGAACATCAATGAAAAGGTTTGGGACTTTGGCTTGTATCGTCTCTCTTATTCCGTTCGGTGCAACTGTAGGGAACGTAGCCTCGGCGAGGTCGAGAAGGGAAGGGATTCTGGCCGTCCAGTGATGCTGATGCGGTCCAAGTAGGGATAAAAAGCTGCATAAGCCTTCATCTGTGCGAACGACTTTCTGCTGCGGCTTGGATTCTTCAACAGCTTCTTGGCTCGGGGAGTGATGGCCTGAACTTGATTGAGGTGGTGCAGAGTCTTGTTCTCGATCACTCTGGCTGAAAGCAGTCTGGATGAAATTCTTATTTATTTCTGACGCCGGGCGGTTGCACATAAAAGGGAAGCGGTTGACGGTTACGATGTCGATATTGACTGACAACGGCCGCTCCGACTAGGTAGATTCAAACTTGATGGCGGCTTTCCCAGGTCTTCTGGCGGGCTGCAGTAATAGGAATGGTGAGGCGATCGTTTAAGTAGAGTTGATTGTTGTAGGGCGGGCTGACGACATGGCCAAGCAGGTACCTGGCGGCATCTTGGGAGGAAAAGATTATTCGCGTCGCTATTGAGTAGATACCCACGAGCTAAGCCCAGTCGAGCATCTTCAATGTAGTTCAATTAAATCTTTGGTAAAAGGCTGCCGACCTGCGGGGAACGAATAGATGGGTGAACAAAGCACTGCAGAATCGGAAGACATGATTAGGAGACGACTGCAAGGGAGACTTGGGGTTCGAATCGCTAGGGTGGAGAGACAATCCGTACTAAACAAGCACGGCT